AGCTACTACTCCATTTGTAGTTTATGTTTTATTTAGAACTATTTCTACTGCTACTGTTTTATTACTACTGCTATATTTTGAGATTTACTTTTTTATAAGTAGCAAAAGTTTTAAAAACGTATGATTATAAAACAAAACAAATGCTACTGCTACAACTTCAGACAATTGTTTGGAGCAGTAGTTAAAGCAATAATATAATACTTGGTAGCAACGTAGTTTTTCTAACACTGTTCTAAATCAGATTATTCGAATTTCAATAAACCATATTTTTAATTTTGTAGATTTTTTTTTAAAGTGGAAAATATTTTCAATAAATATTTTAAAATTATTTAAAATATTATTTTTTATACATATATTTTAACTTCTCAACCGAAGATAAGGAAAGTCATACTAATTTAATATAAAATTTTCATTGTATTTATACAATAATACTCATTGAGGAATACAACTTTGTTGTAATTTGCCAATTTATTTGTTTTGGATTTTATGAAGCTTTTCAATCACTTTATTTATTGACTGAAATAGTTTCGTACTTTTATAGTATTTGAAGTTTTCAATATAGATTGTTTTATTAATCTGTAGGTTTTCAGATATACATTTTATAAACCCTTGCGAATAGTTAGCTATTTTTTTTTTGTTTATAATGGCAGTCGTTCGAAGTGCAGAAGATATTCCAGCCATGACAGAACATAACTTAGGTCTAGCCTGTTCTCTTTGTGAGTTGGAAATGTCAAACCCTAGCGAATGTGCTTTGACCAAGTGTAAACATACTTTCCATAGAGAATGTATTACGAAATGGATAAATAGTTCTAATGAGTGTCCAAATTGTGGCAAATTATGTCATGAGAATGATTTAAGTCAAATAGGAGCTAAACCTATAGAAAAGGCCAAGAGTTCTTTTTATCGTGGAAGAGGTCGTGGGTCCGCAACGAAAGCTTATAATACTAGGTCCTCAAATAGGGTACAGAATGATGGCAAATCTACACAAGTCAATGTAGAAGGAGCTTCTTTAGGAACAGAGGTAATAGACGTGGATTCACAGCCAGAAGTAAATGTAACGATGAATGAGTCGCAGAACCCCAATTATAGTCAACATAATACAACAAACCAGTCTAATAGAGGTAGGAGAGGAAATCGTAATGCAAATCGTATGGCACAGATGATTGAAACTACAGTTCAAAGAATGCTTTCTCAGATGAATTTAAGCCCATGGCATCAGTCAAGCCAAGAACCTACTCAACAGCAACAAAACCAACAACAACTACAACTTCAAACACAACGACAATCTACATCTTCACCACCAATACATCAGGATAATTTAGAATGGAATTCACCTAATATCTCTGCTCAAAATGTTCAAAATCTTAGTTCAGTTTATACAGCCAATAGAATAAAATTACATCCAGATAAAGTTACAACTATAATACAAAGTTGGAATGTTAAGTTCGATGGATCAGCTGATGGACTACATTGCGAAGAATTCTTATATAGAATTAAATGTTTAGTGGAAGAAACATTTAATGGCAATTTTAATGAGAGTGTAGGGAAAAATTTGCACGTTTTAATGTCAGGTAAAGCTAGAACATGGTATTGGAGGTATAGGAAAACAGTTCCAAGAATTATTTGGGAATCTTTTTGTACAGAACTTATGAAACAGTATAGGGATCACAGAACCACATTTGATATACGCGAAGAACTTCACAACCGTAAACAAAAGCCATTTGAGTCATTTGAAACCTTTTATGATGCTATCAACAGTATTATAGACCGATTAGCTATTCCCTTGGAAGAAGAAGAGTTGATTGAGATAGTGATTAGGAATCTTAGGCCCGAAATTAGACATGAATTATTATATGTTCAGGTCAGATCTATAGGACATTTGAAACAGCTTTGTCAGAAACGGGAGAAATTGTTGAATGAAGATTCATTTCGTAGAAATAATGTCAATCGTTACCCTACTACTGGCCAACAACGTCGGATAGCAGCCATAGAAAGTGAGGAAATAAATGAACAATTAACGGATCAGGAAATTGCTAGAAACTCTGATTTAGAGGTAAATGCACTTGATTCTCAGCCAAAAAGAAAGATTATATGCTGGAATTGCGATGAAGAAGGTCACTTGTGGGACATGTGCCTTAAGGATCGTAAAATTTTTTGTTACGGATGCGGTCTTAAGGATATGTATAAACCTCAATGTGAAAAGTGTTCAAAAAACTCAAAAAACTACAGGAACTACAACAACAATCGAATAGATCCGAAATAGAATATCCAAATACCGGAAATAATAATGAAAACAATAATACCGAAAGAAAAGATGAAAGTTTAAATGAAATTGGAGAAAATCAGGAAATCGAGTTGAAAAATTGTGTAATTTTAGAGAATAAGGATAGGGAAAATGAATTAAAGGATAAGGATATTAAATTATACAAAATTCGTCCTTTTCATGAAAGATTAAAGGATTATGTAAGTGCTAGATTTAGAATTTTTAATGATAATAGTTTAGATAGTAAAGTAGTTAGAAAGTATAATAGGAATACAGTACGTAGGCGTAATTTTTACGATAAAATTAAACATACGCAAAAATTATTAGTTTCATCTATTATAAATTCTGAAATTGATGGTAGATTATATGCAGAGGTAAAGTTTTTAGATAAGACAGAGTTAGGATTGTTAGATACAGGTGCAAATATTTCCTGTTTAGGAAAAGATTTGGCACAGGAAGATTTTTCAAAACATCCCGGATATAAAAATATACTATCAGCTGTTCGTACTGCTGATGGTAAAGCACAACAAGTTATAGGTCTAGTCGAACTGGAAATGTGTTATAAAGGAATCAACAATAAGATCACATTATATATAGTACCTGCACTCAATCAACGTCTTATACTAGGATTAGATTTCTGGCGAAATTTCGGTTTAATGAATAATATAGTAGCTGGCGTAACATTAAATGAAACCAAAACAGAAATTGTCAATGAAGATTCGGAAAATTATCCTTTAACGGACGTACAACAACAAAAACTCGATTTAGTAAAAACATTCTTTCCAAGCTTTGAAAATCAGGGTTTAGGGAAAACGTCATTAATAAAACACAGTATAGATATAGGTAACGCGAAACCTGTAAAACAAAGGTTTTATCCTGTATCTCCAGCAGTAGAAAAGTTGATGTATACTGAAGTGGATCGCATGTTAAGCTTAGGAGTCATCGAAGAGAGTACAAGCGCCTGGAGTTCGCCGATGAGATTAGTGATAAAACCTGGGAAAGTAAGATTATGTTTAGATGCAAGAAAGATAAACGAGGTAACTACAAAAGATGCGTACCCATTGCCAAGTATTGAGGGTATATTTGCTCGTTTGCCTAAAGCAAACATCATTAGTAAAATTGATTTGAAAGACGCGTATTGGCAAATAGCTTTAGAAGAGGATTCGAAACCAATTACAGCATTTACCGTACCAGGAAGGCCACTATATCAATTCACTGTGATGCCTTTTGGATTATGCACGGCTCCTCAGACCATGTGCCGCCTTATGGATTCGATTATACCCCCAGATCTCAAGCATTCTGTATTTGGGTATCTAGATGATGTTTGTGTAGTGTCAGATACATTTGAAAACCATATATCGATTCTTATTAGGATAGCCGAACAATTTAAGAAAGCAAATCTAACGCTTAACCTCAACAAAAGCAAGTTTTGTGTAAGAAAAGTACAGTATTTAGGCTATATAATAGGAAATGGAGGCATATCTACTGATCAAGGAAAGATAGAATCTATAATTAACTGGCCAATACCGAAAACATTGAAGCAAGTTAGGGGTTTTCTCGGCTTAACCGGATGGTATCGAAGATTCATTGCCAATTTCGCTGAAGTAACTCACCCTATCACCGAACTATTGTGCAAAAAGAAGAAATTTGAGTGGACTCAAGAGGCCAATGAAGCTTTTCAAAACATTAAACGATTATTGACTAGTGCTCCCGTTTTAATAAACCCAGATTTCTCTAAAAAGTTTTATATTCATTGCGATGCAAGTGACTTTGGCATAGGAGCAGTTCTTGTACAATTAGGGGAAAATGGAGAAGAAAATCCCGTAGCTTATATGTCAAAGAACTGAATTCTGCACAGAGAAATTACTCTGTAACAGAGAAAGAGTGCTTAGCAGCAGTAGAGGCAATCGAAAGATTTAGGTGCTATATAGAACTTCAAGAATTCGAGGTTATTACAGACCACAGCAGTTTAATTTGGCTGATGAGACAACAAAACTTAAAAGGTAGACTCGCAAGATGGGTTTTAAAACTACAATATTATAAATTTTCAATTAGTCACAGAAAGGGGAAGGACAACATAGTACCCGACGCGCTCAGTAGGATGCATGAAGGCGATATATGCTCTTTAAATAGTATAGAACCGGAAATCGATTTAGATTCCACACACTTTTTAGACAATGACTATATAACATTAAAGCAAAAAATTGAAAACAACCAAAGTTCATATCCGGATATTAAGATAATTGATAGGTATGTTTATATTCGTAGGAATTTTAGTAAGGGTATTCCAGAGATTGATGAAAATTCGTGGAAATTGTGGATTCCCGAAGGTTTAAGAACTGACATCCTAAATCGTTGTCACGATTCAGTCTTAGCATCGCACGGTGGCATTGGAAAAACGATAAACCTAATTCGTAGATACTTCTTTTGGCCTAAATTGGTGGCTAACGTTAAAAATTATGTGAATAATTGTCAAATATGCAAAAGTACCAAAGCTACAAATCGAATACAAAAACCGGAAATGGGAAATATGAGCATTTCCGTAAGACCATTTCAACGGATATACGTGGATCTTTTAGGTCCATATCCTAGAAGCAAAAAAGGATTCATTGGGTTGTTGATCGTCCTTGATCACTTCTCTAAGTACCACTGGCTTTGTCCCATTAGGAAATTTACTTCATCTGTTATCACAGAATTTATAGAAAAACATATTTTTCATCATTACGGAGTTCCTGAGATGCTAATAAGCGGTAATGGTAGCCAATTTCGCAGTAATGAATTTAACGCGTTTCTTACGACTTATGGAGTTCATCATATTTACACCGCGTTATACTCACCCCAAAGCAACGCTTCGGAAAGGGTTAATAGATCGATCATTGCCGCAATAAGATCGTATCTTAAAAAAGATCATCGTGAATGGGATGAAAACATATCCTCAATCAGTTGTGCACTTCGTAATGCCATTCACAACTCCATTGGTTTCTCTCCTTATCATGCATTATACGGTTTCGATATGATAACGCATGCTTCGTCGTATAAACTACTTAAAGATATTCAATCGTTAGGAGAATCTGATGTTAATATACTACGTGATGATAGGTTAGCTTTGTTACGCGATTCTATTTCAAAGAACATGAAAAAAACTTACGATATTAATGTGAAACAGTACAATTTAAGAGCCAGGTCAGTGGGTTATAATGTAGGACAGGAAGTATTCCGAAGGAATTTTGCTCAGAGCAGCGCGGAGAAAAATTTTAATGCCAAACTAAGTCCTCTTTATATACGAGCTAGAGTAAAAGAAAAGCTAGGAAACTGTTATTATGTATTAGAAGATATAGAGTCTAAGAATTCAGGTACATATCACGCCAAGGATATCAAAATTTGAGTATTAGTTATAATAAAATATATTCTATATTTTATGATTATCTTTGGTTAATTTAGTTTATTTTCATTTTTTATTACAGAATATTGTTGAAATTTGCAAATAATTAATTATGGGATCGAACAGAACACCAGTTTGTCTCATTTGTAACACAGAAATGGTAGCAAGTCGTTTATACTTAACAATTAGTGATTGCCAACATAAATATCATTTAGATTGTGCAGATATGTATTTCAAGTTACATGGGGAATGTCCCCGCTGCAACCGATCCAATTTTGTCCAAAGAAAAATGCATGCAATGCTTCGTTTTCTGGATAGACGACAACAAATTCAAAGTGAACTTTTACAAATATCGCAATAATGAAACCGCGATTGTTTTTCCGCCTAATTTAGTGCGAAAAATCTTTAAATTATCCGGTTTTGTAATGTGCAATCCGGTTGAAACAAACATTTATACACCATACAACTTTTACATTTTCTAAAACTATAATTTTTACACATTTTTTTTCTGTTACACATTTGCATTGTTACATATTTTCATATTTCAAAAATCTTATTGTTGTTATTTTACAAATTTATATTATTACAATCTTGTTAAAATCTTTTTTGTTAAATATCTCAATAAACAAATTCCATATCAGCAAGTTATGCATTGTTTATGTTATTATTTAAAACGATCGTAAATTTTAGCGGTAATGCCAAGTTCAATATCACGTATCGGTTTACGGCGAATTGAAATGTCATTAGTTAAATTAGTCACTAGAGGGCTTATAGCCTGGAAAGAAATGTCATATTGGGCTAAGATAAATTTTCATTAAGGTGAGGTAGTACCTAGCCAGGAAACCATCATCCTTTTCCGTTTTATCTGGCCTACCATCAACACCTAAACTCTAAAGATTGAGTTAATACTACTGGTAAATATAGTTAAAGAAAGTGTTAATTTTTGAGAAGACAGGATCCGCTAGTTGAATGGTAAAGTTCCTTTCCTTTGCCAAGTAAATCTTTATACTTACGCCTTTATCCTTTATAGAAATCTTAACGATTTAATTATAAAGGAATAGTAAACTTTTTAAGTGGATTCCATCCTCATAATTGTTCCGTAAATCCATCAATCACACTTGGCAATCAAGGAAGATAAGGTAATTTTAACCAAATCCTCTTTCTTATCCAGAATCTGGATACTTATATTTGAAATATTTTTCCAAAACCATTTACAGGTCTTTTACTCCTTGGAGAGTTAAAATTACTTCGTTAATTTGTCATTTATTTTTGACATAAAATCTATCGAATCTTTATTCTTTTGATTCTGTTTGGTTGATGTCAAAAAAAAAAAAAGAATAAGAATAATAGGACAGGAGAACGAAAGGAGAGGAAAATATCTGTCAATATTTGATCCCACTAAAATTCCCATAAGAAGAAGCATCGTCAAAATTCAAATACCAACCTAGATCAAAGTAGAATCAAAGATAAAAGAACAAAGATCAAAGTGATTGAAGAATTTGAAAGAAAAAAAAAAGATTTTAAGAAACTTATGTGTGAAAACTAGAAAAAGATAGTGAAACGTGAAATTTAAAGTAATTATTAAGTAAAATTTGCATTTAATTAAATTAAAAGTAGAAAAAAAGAAAAAGATTAAAAGAATTAAGTCAAAAAAAGGTATATTTAAATTATTTATATTGTGTAATTTTCTAAATCGTGGCAATTTGCACAGTGTTCCTTAAAAGAAAAAATCATAAAAGAAAAAAAATCTTCAGTAAAAAAAAAACATAAAGATAAAAAAAAAATAATTAAGAATAGAAATCAAATTAACAAAATCATTGGAGAAAAAAAACAAGTTAATTGTTAAATAGTGACAAAATCGGTTCGGTGTTTTTAAAATTAAAAGTGCACAGTAGTTTGACGAAGTTTGGTTGCAAACTATTGTAAAACAAGTAACCAAAGAACCTGAAATTTAGGCACAAAAAATATATAAAACTTCATTAAAAGAAACAAAAAAAAAATCTAGAAAAACAATATTTTGCAAATTAAAATTTCATCAACCCACTGTGCATAAATTTTTATATTTTTTATATGTTGTATATTTTATTTTTTGTATTTTTTTGCTTTTTCCTTTGGTATTTTTTGATCTTGTAAGAAAAAAAAAAGGTTATTAAAAATTTGTGAAAAAAAAAGAGAAAAAGATATCAAAAGAACCAAAAGAAAAATATAAAAAAAAATAAAATAAAGAAGAAGAATATGTAAAAGTCAAGTAAAACCGATAAAAAAAAAAACAAACTAAAGAAAGTTAATCATATAAATACAAGAAATTACAAATAAAAACAAAATTTACAACATCCCCAGCTCTACACCTCTCTCGCCTGCAGCACCAACGAAGATCTTCAGCGGCCTGCATGTAAGTAATTGATTTATATATGTATATTAATTTGTTCTTTTATTTTTTTTGAACAAACTAAGAACATAAAAATATCTTAAGAAAATGTTAAATAATTAAAATCAATAATGCAAAATTAGTATTCATACATTTCTTGTTTAAACAATTAAAAGAAAACTGTATAAATACATTTAAAAATGTGTCAATCAAAATATAAAAGAATATGTTCTTATTTTGGCCAAAATTATTTCTAAATTTTATATGATTTTTAATAACATTATTATGCGTATATCGAGACCTCGGTGTTAATTTAAACAAAGATTAAAGAAAACAAACAAAAGATAAAAAAAAAAACTCACTCAATCTCTCTCATTCGCAGAGAAGAGATCAATATTAAAAGAAAGCTTTCGATAAAGCTTTAATGAATCGGTAAAAGCAATAATTATGTATAATAATTAACTCTCCTCGATTTGTTATTTGATTTTCACCCTACTGCTCCGTTGTTAAATATTTAAATTTGTTATCGCGTTTGTTATTTACATTTTTAAACTGTGCAAGTTGAAACTAATTTATAAAAATCAATTTTTGTTGCAAGTTTTATTAGATTTAAGTGCATGTTATTATCAATTTAGTTTTTTAATTCGAAAATGTTAATATTTAACATTTGTTTACTTCTGGTAACAGAATGAATTAGGAAAATTAGTTTTATTAAAGAAAAATTATTTAATTTAGTTTGAAATTGAAATTCAAACATAAAAAAATAGTTTTTTTTAAAGATTTTAAAATCAAATCGTTAGAATAATGATTAAAACCTGAATTTATAAACAATAAACATTATTAACAATGTGTGAATAAAATAATTTTTGACTTTTTCCTTTCGGTTGAGAAGAAAAAAAAAAAAAACATATTAGGGTCCTTTTATTAATATTTTAGGTTGGATAAAGGACAAAGGTTGAGGTGGGTTACGAACTTAACGGGAATATCATCATCCCTATTATAAAACCACTTTAAAAACTCCTCCACTTAGTAGATTTCAACACTTCCGTTTTATTTAGATTATTTTTTTTTAACATTGTTTTTGGGGATTCAATAGATTAGTATACCAATCCATATCCATATTGTTAGCAACCACTTTACCAGGGACTCTGTAATAAATTAAGGCGACAGGTACATTGAACGAGTAGGGTCAAGAACCTCCCCACCCACTGAAGCTAGCGGAATAGACGGGTCCCGCCGACCCTCACTTGTGCAAATGTAAGTTGTGACATTTTAAAGATATTGTCGAGTTTAACAAACTTGGACACTGTACTTTTTATTCAAGCCAGTCGACCATTACAAATAGGCGTAGCGTTTGTGCGCGAATCAACACTAAACCCTTTTAAAGTGGATGAAAGTGTTTACGTGAAGGTCATAATATCACCTAATATGGCCTCCACAATACGATATGAGGTGTGCATGCAGGTTTCAAATGACCTGCCAAGAAACCCTTACGCTCATGGTTTGGACCCAGCTATAAAAGGGAAGTTCTGCCGAATTTCTCTGGCCGACCCAGAATTTTATGCCAATGCACCCGTAGCCATGGAAATAGGTGGTGATTTGTATACCACCATTTTACAGCCTAACACGATCCATATTGATGGCGGCTCACTGATAGCCCAGGATTCAACCCTGGGTTGGCTAGTTATGGGATCCCTTACCAATTAAAAATATAATAAAGTATTTTACTATAAATTACCCTCACTTTCTCTAACCCAATGTTGAACAAATGAAAATAATTGTTCTTTTTCTTCACAGGTTGCCAGGCCCGGGAGGATGTTCATTTCAATGAACAAAACACCCATCCCTGATGTCAAACAACACCCACCTCTCAACTGCAGCCAACTTCAGCTTAGGCACACTAAAGCTAGCTGCCGCTTTATTATCGTCACTTCAAATATAATTTTGCAAGTAACAACAAGTGTGTGAGCGCTAAAACAAACCAAGTAAAACAACAACCCCTACAACAGACAGTGAGAATTCAAAGTGTCTTTTAAATACATAAATTACAAAACCTAAACCTAGTGCTAAAACTTAAAACTAGTGGTAAAATATATAACCTGTGTTAAAACCCTAAACCTAAGAATAAATAGTAAAACCCTAAAATAAAATTCTTAATTATCACAGTGAATATCACAGTTAAAAACATGAAACAATATAATAAAACCCTAAACCTAAATTAAAACCCTTAAGCCTAAAAAGAATTGAAAATAAAATAAATACATTAACCTAAAATTTATTAAATATAAATACTTACCCTATATATTAAATACTTACCCTATATATTAAATACTTACCCGTTAGAGTTCAATAAACATATGAATTTATAACGTTTGTGAAAAGAAAAAGAAAAGAGTTTTATTTACTTACATGCTACTTAAGATTAATCTATACCCTACCCTTTCTAACCCGTAATAACATTTATGATTTAAGAGAAATTTCTAAATATCTAAACATCGTTTTTGCTTAAGTATTTGTGTATAAAATTTAACCACATTAGATTCATAAAATTGTGTACATTATCACTAACATATAAATATATTTAAACTATATGAAACTTGAATATGGTTACCAGCATCGTCAATTCCTCGAGAAA